GAGAAAAATTGAAGATGCTGCGTTTTCAGCTTCTTTGCCTTTAAATGGAGTTTCATTGCCAAAATTCTTCGTAATACTTACCTTGATAGGAATCATGAGGTTTCCTTCAGCATTGGCTGCATCTTCGTTGAGGGTCTTAGCAGCTTTCCAAGCTTTCTCCTGTAAAGTTCAGCTCAAATATTTTGCGAGACACTAAATGAACTTATTACGATGGCAAATATCATTTGCAGACATCAAGGAGCGTACTCGGGAAGCTCACCATATTTTCAGGGTTACTGGCATTCATGATTTCTCCTGCCATTGTTTCTTCTCTTTTGTGTTGACCAGCATAGCAGGATGAAAGCATGGCGATAAGCAGTTGGACGAAGACAAAAAGCGGAAAACGCATCTTCTGAAGCAAATGAAGTAGGTAATTAGTAGAAAAGGTAGGAAAGTGAACATAGGTTGGACTGTGATATTCTTCTAAGCAGAAACTTATGTAGGAAATGAACATTTGATCGTGTGCCCTGACAGTGTACACATCTCAGGCGCATAAATTCGCCACCTAAAATAAAATTGCCCCAGCTGCCAGCGTGGACATGAATTAAGAAACAGCACGGTGTTAAGAAGAAAAATATGGGAAAATATAGCTATAAGCGCAGTCTCAGCAAGATATTAAAATCAAATCCCGAGAAAATGAAAAAGCAAATGTCTGTGCGACTTCCTAGTAGACTGTGGTCAAATTACATTCACATAAAATCAAACGTTGTTCTAAATTTGGTAAAGAATGACTCAGTTCGAAAGGTTATTTGGATTTCCTCTCCTTTACGAATGTCCTATCATATGCATTAGTTCTTACTGCATTCAGCTTATGCTATAAAAATCACGAATAAAATGTCTGAGATACACAGCTACGCAGGGCTGACTCAAACATTTCCTGCAACAGTTTATGATTTCCTCAAAAAAAAATTTTCATGAGCGTTTATAGAGCCGGTTGACCTCATGCTATCTGATAGCCCTGTTCCGTTAACAGTATGTTAATACATTATTGGAATCAGCATAATTTACAATCTGGATCGACAAGTAAAATCCTATTTAGAGAACTGCTCTATCCATCTAATGATTATTATTCCCCTGACACCACTACTTGGGCTCCTTGCAACTCCGAACAAACAACGCGAAAAATCATCAAATCAAAACGATCGAAACCTGGATGAAATAGCCTACATACGTTACCCGCCCTATCACAACTATAGTTGCTTTGAGTTACATGTTAAAAAACGGTACCGCTTCCTTAAGGTTGTATATAAGTAGCAAAAATTACTCCTACTTTTTTAGCAGCTTTGAAGAATTCTTTCGCATCCACTTTACTTGAAAAGTTACAAAACACAAAAGCACTTCAGAGATTGACGGGTTTTGTAAGTTTAGCTACATGGAGGCGAACACGTTTTTGTTGACTATAATTTTGAGTTGGAAAAAGTTTGTTTGGATTTTCTGTTGTCAACCTCAAACCAGGCCTCGGCACGAGGTCTCCGATAGGACCTTACGAGAACGAATCCCCGCTTGAAAGTTCAGGAAA